CCCGTGTCTCCTGAGGAGAGGACTGAATTCTGTCCCTGGTGCTTCGTCGCCCCCCCGGGCTGGCTCCCCCACCTCCCCACCCCTCTGTCCCCTCCAGCCCTGCTTAGGTGTTGGACAAGCTGGTCCCCCCGGCTGCTTCCCCAGCCAGAAAAGTGAAGCCCCGTGCCTGCCGCTGCCTGCCTCAGCTCGACTGGAATCCCAGCTGCTGTTTTCTGCTGGGATGGACGGGTGGGTGGGGCTTCCTGGGCCGATTCTGTTTCTGCCATGTGAAACAGAACTGAGTCAGAACAGGGAACTGGGCCATGGTAGCCTCTTACCGCCCCCACCTTTTTTTTCAGAAAGGGGCTTGTTATGTAGCCCAGGCAGTCCTCCTGTCTCAGCCTCCCGAGGCTGGCTCACAGGTGTGCCCCACTGTGGCTGTGCCGTCTACACTCGCTGACTTGACTTCTCTTTGCCAGAGACAGGACGCGTGTGGTCGTTGCCGAGCCTTAGGGGCCGGAAGGGAGGTGGCTCAGGGCTGTGTCGGATTTTGATCAACTACCCTCTTTCCCACTGTGACCCAGCCTCGGTTCCCACGGTCACTTCCGGCCTCAAACAACTGCTGGAAGCTGGCGGGGGTGCGGGTCTGTGATCCCAGCACCCAGGAGGCTGAGGCAGGAGATCACGGTGAGCTCAAGGCCAGCCTGGGCTACGCAGTGAGACCTGTGTCCAGAAAAAACAAAGCACAGTACTTCCGGCTGTCCCGGGCTGGCAGCTCAGCCTGGGCGCTGGCCCTGAAGCTGCCTTTGTTTAAAGTGAGCAGGAACAGGAACACAGAACCCGCAGCGCTGCCCACGCGGGGCCTCTGGGCTCCCTGGCACCCCGGGGGCCGCTGGCCAGGACCCGCTGGGATCCGCAGAGTCCAGAGGGTGGGCGTGGGCTCCCCATGCCAGCCACCCGGGCCTGGGGAACAAAGCCACCTTTGTGTCAGCCGCGTGTGCCCAGCTGTGCGGCCCTGCAGCGCTTCGGGCCTGGGCTGCTCTGATCCGGGGCAGGGCGTTCCGTGGCTCAGTGTCCTGTGCCTTCTTTGGTTTCCTGAGACAAGGTCTCACTGTGTAGCCCCGGCCGGCCCTGAACTGAGCGACCCTCCTGCCTCCGCCTCCCACCACCACGCCCAGCCGGAGCAGGCTATTTGTCGTGTCCTGTTCGGGCCCTGCTGGTCTCTAACACGCATGATCTCTCCCATGAGTGCCCTGTGCCTGTCACTGAAGAACAGGCTCCTGGCACAGGGATGGGAGGAGGCTGAGTCAGCTCCACCCTGCCCAGGGGGCCCCGTCCCGACCCTTCCACTGACCCCCAGCACATGGCACACGCAGCGAGGTCTCGGCCCCTGTCCGTGCGCCGCGTTTTAGAGGAGGAATAAGAGCAGCCAGCGGCAGAGGTTAGAGATGTGCGGAGGATGCCTGGGGCTCGTGGGGACAAAGCTGTCGTCCCGGGAGCAGTCTGATGGCCAACCTTCCCGGGCTGCAGCTGGCCTGGTAACCAGTCGTGTAAGATCCATTTCAGCATCATCTAGGGAGAAAGCACCATCCTTTGGGGAGTTGAACAGGGGACGGTGAACCCTGTGAGATCCAGGAGATAAGTGGGTGCAGAGCTCCTACGGGAGCAGCCTCGGATCTGGAAAAGCAGGCACTCGTGGCCCCCTGGGGTCTGGGCAGTGCTGAGCCCCTGTGCCCAGCTGCCGCGGCGCTGCCCTCACAGGCTTCCTGTGTCCACGTGTGGGGTGTGGAGCGAGGGGCCTGGCCCGGGGAGATGCTCGCTTCTCTGCAGAGGTCGAAAATCCCACAGAAGCTTTGGCCGTGGGGTGCAGGGTGCCTATGCCGCTGCATTTCAGCAGCTGCGCACTTCGTACCGGTTTGAAACCAGCGGGAGCAGAGGCGATGTGACCTTCGGTACGGTCCCAGGGCCTCTGGGCCCGGTCCTCAGATTCTCTAGAGACTCCGGGAAGAGGGTTCGTCCCGAGGCTGCGGCCCCAGCTGGGCCCCATCCCTGCCCCCTGTGCACCCAGTGCAGCGCCCTGTGGCTGAGTCACCTGCGGGGCCCAGGGCCCCGAGGCCGAGCCTGGCTCTGAATGCGCCTCCGTGGCCTTGGGCTCGAAGAGGGCGAGGTGTGCAGAGAGCTGGAAGCAGCCTCCTGGCCCCGTGTTGTCCCTGCTGTGAGCCCGTCCTGGGCTCTGAGCTCCGGGGACGCCCAGCAGGCGACCGCTGCAGGCTTCCTTAGCGTGGTCCTGTCTGTGCTCAGGGACGGGAACAGGAACAGGAACCCTGGGGCCCAGGCAGATGTGAGAGCGAGTTTGTCACAGGCGTCGGAGGCCTGGGGACACCGCCCTGCCCTGCCGATGGGTTCTCGGGGAGTGGGGCCAGCTCTCCCTAACGCCCTTCATTTTCTCCCAGGTGAGCGGTGCCAGCCCAGAACCCCTGGGCCTTCCTGGGCCTCAGCCGTGCAGTGGCTGCTCCCGGGCGAGTGCCGTCTACCTGGGCCGAGGCGCGACCTCGCTCTTTACTGAAAGTCAGACAGAATGGTCTCACCTCCCACGGCCAGCTTGCCTGTTGACCCATATGCTCTGTGAATTTGCTACCTGGAATATGGAACTGCTTATTAGGCGCATATACAGTCTCAATTTTTTTTTCTTGAGACGGTCTCACGATGTAGCTCAGTCTGGCCTTGAACTCAGGACGTAGCCCAGGGTGGCCTTGAACTTGCAGCAATGCCCCTGCCTTGGCCTCCAAGGTGCTGGGATCGCGGGTGTGTTCTACCAAGCCTGTTTTAATTTCTGGAGCTTCCTGATAAGTTGAAAGTTTGAACACGGTAGAATGTACCTCTCTTCACTGGGAAAACACCTGAGGCCCGAACCCTGAGGAGGTGAGGTGATTTCACCTCACGGTTCCCGAGGGTTCAGTCCATGGCGGGCTGGCTCCCAGGAAGATACGGCAAGGTGGAAGGGCTCAGCAGGGAGGCCAGGAGGGAGCGAGAGGGAAGGGAGTGGCCAGGGACAGGAGCACATTTTCCAGGCCACGTCTCCAAACCCGTGAGGCTTCTGGATGACATTTTGTCTGAACCTAGCAGTCCTAAAACATGTGATTCCTGCCCGCTCGGTTTATCGGAGGGAGCACGGGTGTTTCCAGGGGCTGCAGGGGCACAGCTTGGCTCCTCCCTTTTTGGCCTTCGGGGGCAGCTTCCCCGGAGGCGGAAAGAGGAAGGAGAAATGAAGGTGAACCTCTTGTGTGCTGTGAGAAGCCCCGTCAGGGCGAGCAAGGTGCCTGCTGTGTGTGTGTGCGCGCGTGTGTGTGTGCGCGCGTGTGTGTGTGCACGCGTGTGTGTGCATGTGCGTGTGTGTGTGTGTGCACGCACGCGTTCCTCACCTGACCCAGACCCCACCCCCCGGAGGCAGCTGCTGCACCGCCTGCCGTTTGGTTCCGAAGATTTCCGGGGCCCAATGACCGGGAGCAGGGTACACGACGTAGCTCCGCTCCTCCGTTCCCATTTCCCTTTGGAAAGTGGGAGCGAAACCGCAGCTGCGCCCCTGGGTGCTGAGCGATGAACCCATGAGACCTGGGCTGCCCCTGCCCCCTCAGCCCCAGCTCCTCCCTCTCCCCTGCCGTCCGCTGGGATTGCAGGTGCTCAGCCAGGTGTGCGGCTGAGTCCAGGCCTGCGGTGCTGGGTTGCTTGGTGCGTTCTCAGCCGCAGCAGTAGCTGCTGAGTGCTTACCGAGCAGCAGCATCTTCCCCAAACTGCAAACGTAAGGCCATTAAACAATCTGGGTGTTGTTGTTTTCTTTGCTTATCTAAGGACTAAATGTACGTATTATAAGGATGTTCGGTGACAGAGCAGGCAAACCCAGCCAGGCATGGTGGTGCACCTACGATCCCAGCCCTCGGTAGGCTGAGGCAGGAGGGCTGCCTCGAGTTCGAGGTCAACCTGGGCTTCTTAGTGAATTCAAGGCCAGCCTGGACCAGACAACAAGACCCTGTCTCAAAAAATAAGTGCCTTGCTGTTATACCGTCTTCCGGATAAAGTGTGGCTTCCTGGAAGGTACCAGACTTGAGCTGTAAGCTGGCTTTGGTAGGATATTTTAAGAATGAAGTTACCTGCCCAGGTGTGGGTGGTGCACACTTATAAATCCTGACAACTCCAGAGGCTGAGGCAGGAGGATTAAGTATCCAAGGCCGGCAGAGACAACTTAGCGAGATCCTGGCATAAAACAAAAATGAAAAAGGTTGGCAGGTACCGTAGGGCTCCTCGGCTTCAACCCCGCCATGGCACAAGCACAAAACAGCCGGGTGCGGTGACGCAAGCCTGTTGTCCAAGCGGTCAGGACGCTGAGGCAGGAGGATCTCTAGGAGTTCAAAGCCAGCCTGAGCTCCGTAGGGAAACAGAGGCCCGGTGGGTGCCTGGCGCCCCCATGAGCGCTGCTGTCTCTGTCGCCGCAGGTGCGCCAGTTCGTGGTGTCTGTGAACGGGCTGAACGTGCTGCACGTGGACTACCGCACCGTGAGCAGCCTCATCCTGACGGGGCCGCGCACCATCGTCATGGAAGTCATGGAGGAGCTGGAGGGCTGAGCCTGCGGCCGCCCACCCCACCTCCTCCACACCTGCGCTCCTGGGGTCCAGGGTCCTGCCCTGTGCCAATGATGAGGAAGAGTCGGACGGCGCATCTTTAAAAGAATAAATGCGCTGGTTGTGTGGTGCGCACCTGTCATCACAGCTCTTAGGAGGCTGAGGCAGGAAGATCTCTCAGAGTTCAAGCCCAGCCTGGGCTACACAGTGAGTCCCTGGCTCAGAAAATAAAAATTAAAGAGGAAATGAAGTCAGTGTAGAAAACATTTGGGAACCACTTTTCCTACAGGACAGAGTTGCCTTACTAGATTTCTACTTCTTGTGCCAATTTGTTGAGGGTTGTTTAGTAGTAGTCGTAGTATGTCTCGCAGATAGTTTTTGAAATGCTTCTCAAGCTAAAACAGCACCAAGCTAAAGTCCGCTCTTGGGAGTCATTGGAGTAGATGTCCAGACCTTGTGGCGTGCACTTGGAGTCCAAGCAAACTGGGAGGCTGAGGCAGGAGGGTCACTTGAGCTCAGAGGTTCAAAGCCAGGTTGGACTTGTAGAGAGCCCAACTCTACAAAAATATTCCACCAAAATCATCGTGGAACCGTTTAACTGAGAGTGCAGATGTCACTATGCTTTAAATGAAGAGCAACACCTATGGGCCCAGCCTGTGAACCCGCGTTTCCGCCCTGCTCCTGTTGACCTTAGTGCTTGGAAACTGGCAGAAAAGTGACTTCCCCCACTGTTGCCTTCTGTGTCCGCTTTTACCTCTCCCCGGCTCGGTGCAGGGAAAACAAGGCAGCCTCGCTGTCCCTGGGCGGCGGGGGATGCAGAGCCGATGCCTGTTCGTTCTCTGAGCTGAAGTCATTTTCTCAGGATCCATCCCATTTATTTCTAAATCTGTGGCCGCAAGGAGACGCACACGCGATGCAGGACTCGGAGAACACAAGGGGCGCTGCCTGCCTCCCGCGGCCCTGCTCCGAGCCGCAGCTCCCGTCGTCACCTTCATCCTGTGTGTGTGTGTGTGTGTGTGTGTGTGTGTGTGTCTTTTCTTTCTCTGGAAAACAGAGCCCGCCTGGGCCGTGGCTGGAATTTGGGTGTCAGGGACCCCACTGCTGGTCCTGAGTGCCGGGGTTACTGTCTGATGCACTCACGAAGAAAATCTGCGTGCTGTTCTCAGCCACTCTGTGATCGGTCACCGCCGTGTGTCGGACCAGCAGCGTGGTAGGAGGCTGAGGCTGGAGGATCTCTGAGTGAGAGGCCAGCCGGGGCTGACTCGGCCCTGGTCTCAGGTCCTCGACCTCCTGCTGTCCTCACCGCCTTCCAAGGCAGAGCTTAGCCTCGTTTTTTCAGGGCCTCAGCCGATTGAAGCTGTGCCTGGGTCCCTACCCCAGCCTCCTGTCTTCGTACTTCAGGAGGCCCAGCTTTGCCCAGGGCCACACCTCGTTTGTCCTTGAACACCTGGGATCAATGTGGTCACCACCTCTCCTCCGCAGACAGATGGCTGGGGGGGTCCACGCAGATGCCGGGGGCAGGGGCTTCCTCGGGGCGGGGGCGCAGATACGGGAGTGACATCGTTTTTCATTTTTCAAAGCTTTTTGTCTTTGTAACAGGGTCTCGCTGTGTAGTCCAGGCTGACCTCGAACTAACCGTGGCAGTCTTCCTGCCTCAGCCTCCGAGTGCTGGGATCACACGTGTGTCCATCACGCCCAGTTTATAACATTTTGGAAAAAAAGGAGTTAGTTTTCGGCCCTGGTGTTCGCTCACTGACCGGAGAGGGCGGAGCGGCTTTCCAGACGGCCGATGCCCAGGCCTGAGCCCCGAATGGCGGTGACCTCCCTCGGCCGTGCGTGGGCAGCACACGGACGGGTGGGCGGGGTGAGCAGACCCGCGAGCGCAAGTCCCAAACCCTCTGTGGTCTTCCCAGAGGCTCCCGGGGCGCCGGTGGGGTCCCTCCTGCCCCACTCGGAAGGTTCTGGAAGGGTGGCGCCCCACGGCCATGCAGAGTGGAGACCAGAGGGGAAACTAAGGCAGGCGGGGCCCTGCAGGCCCAGCCCCACGGCTTGTGGGGTGACAGTCTCCGCCCCGCCCCGCAGCCCGAGACCCACAAAGCACAGTGGGGCCGTGATCCATTCCGGCCGTGGTCGTTAAATCACATAAGTGTTTTGTGTGTTGTTTTCATGGTTGTCCCGCTTTCAATTTTAAGAGCTAGCGTGCTTGCTTTCTTTCTTCTCTTTCGTTCATTCTTTTTTCTTTCTTTCCCTTCCTTTTTCTTTCTTTCTTTTTTTTTAGACAGGGTCTTGCTCTGTAGTGCATAGTGGCCTTGAACTCACTCTGTGGCCCAGGCTGGCCTCAAACTCACGGTGACCCTCCTGCCTCAGCCTTCCAAGTGCTGAGATTACGGGTGTGCCTGTGCCTCGCTCCATTTCTAAACGCAACACCAAAATTGTCTTAAATCAACAACAAGCAATACGCAGTGTTCCTAACAATTTTATTTCCTGTGTGTGCGCGTGTGTGTAAAATCCTCAGGAAGTGTGTTTTGTATGCGGTTCTGTTCTGTGAGGGCCTGTGGATCCCATAACACACTTTTGATTCTTCGGGTGTGTGTGCGTGGAGGGTGTGTTCATGTCTTAATGATGGAACTTAGCTTTTGTTTCTGCATTCGCAGGAACTTGAAATCTGTGAACCTGGGTTTTATTACAGAGAGAACATTACAGTTTGGGCTGATTCCGGGCTGAAGTTTACCAATCTCTGTCGCACGGTTGTGTCAATGAAGGAGGAGATGGGGGAGGGTGGAGGAGAGGCCGGTCCGACACCGCTTACGAAAGGGGACTTGCAGGTTACAGGGGCGCACACCTATCATCCCAGCACTTGGAAGGCTGAGGCAGGAGGGTCACCAAGTTTGAGGGCAGCCTGGGGCTACGCGCTGAGACCCCATCTCAAAAAAAAAGTTCAAATAATTGTCAAAGAACCTGCTCTTAAGACCTATTTAAACTCGATACAAATTGTCCTCTCCTGTTGAGTGTGAATCCGCTGTGATTAGAAATAATCAGAGACTAGAGCATTTCAGGGGTGCTAACTGGTTGAAATTTGTTGCTTTAATAATTTAGGGAAGAATTTCAGGTGTAGAGCGTTTTTCTTGCCTTCAGGCCTGAAAGGACAGATGTGCTGTATTCCAGAACGGAGCTTGGCGTCACAGGCAGCGCACGGAATGGTTAAGTGGATGAATAAGTGTAATATATATAATATATGCATATATATTATATACATTAAAATTAACTCGAAATTCATTTGTTCTCTTGATAAAATATTATAACACTGAAATTATTCCTTGAAAACATGAACAGACAGCAAGAAATGCATGTTGCCTTTTTGTTTTGCGGTGTCTGGTCATTTGCTTGTTTCGATGTCTGTGGCCGGGTCAGCGCCCTCCCTGCCTCCTGGAGGCTGCGGCTCCTGCGGACGGGCAGCGCCCGGGCACCCGCTCCAGAGCCTGCCGGGGAGAAGGTGGTGGTGAGCACGGGGTCACTGCTGGGTCCGGTCCTAGGGCGGGGAGGGGCGAGGTGGCCGAGCTCTGTCCCCGGCAGGCCCAGGAAGTGAGCATCTCAGCCAGGCCCGGGGCGCTTGCTTGTCACCCGGGCACTCAGGAGGCCGAGGCAGGAGGAGCCGGCGGGGCAGAGGCAGAACCCAGGGTCACTGAGGACCGCGGGGGCCGTTTGTCACCACCTGTGCGCACCTGAGGCAGCGGTGCTGAAGCAAAGGATGTCGAGGGTGGGCCTGAGTTCAAGTCGCATGCAGATCAAAGGCTCTGCTCTGGCACAGGCCGAGCTGGGGAGTCAGGGTTACACAGCAGCTCCCCACGCGCCCCTGGTGCTGGGGCTGTCCCTGTCTCCTTTGCAAAAGACCTCACTCCCCATTTCCTATGACCTGTCGTTTATTTTGCTCTTTAGTTTCTTTATCTTTCAGTTTTCTCACGGAAGAGAAACCTGTAAGACTGAAGCCGGTGTGTCTGGTTTATTTCACTTTAACATTACGGTGTTGGGTGCATCCGTTTTCCCACAAATGGGAGGCTGAGGCGGGAGGGTCACTGTGAGTTCGTGGCCAGCCTAAACTGCATGAGACCCTGTCTCAAAGAAACCAAAAGAAAGCAAGAATAGGTTCTTTGGAGAGAATCTTTTCTGTTTTAGGGACAGGTGAGGGGATATTTTCCACAAAACTACTCCAACCCGCTGGGCTCGTGGGAGCCTTGCGTGAGGGGGCAGAGGCTGCAAGGCTCCCATGTATTTGTTTACTGATAATTTATCGAGCACCTGCACTGTGCTTGGTGATTTTATTTATTTGTTTGTTGAGACAGGGTTTTGCAGTTCTAGGCCAGGCTGAACTCTCGACCCTCCTGCCTCAGCCTCCCGAGAGCTGGAATCCCAGGTATGCACCACGCCTGGGCCTGTGCTCGGTGACTGTTTCCTGGATCCACAGCAGGAAGCGGCAGTCCCTGCCTGGGGCTCAGCTTCCCCGGGGGACCCGCGGACTTCACAGCTGCTGTTTCCGGGAAGAAGCAGTAGGGACATCAGGGACATTCAGGAAACAGCTTCCCCCAGCGGCCTCACTGTGCTGCCAGGCTCAGGAAGGCTCGGTCACCCTGTGTTTCCCCCAGAGAGACCTGCGTAGGGAGGCACCTCGGGGAGAGTGACCGGCCATCGCCATGGTAACGACCAGCTTTGGTCACAGCTGATCTATTTTCTGAGTGTCCTTTTCGGGACACGGCAGCGGTGAACAGGTAGAAAGCAGGACTCGGCTCGCTACTGCACAGTGTGAAAACTGGGCGTGGCGCTGCCTCCTGTGACCCCAGCACTCCTCGGGAGGCTGAGGCGGGAGGATCACGAGTTCAAGGCCAGCCTGGGCTACTTGGTGAGGCCCTGACTCAAAGCACTAAAAACCACACCATGTGCAGGGTCCTCAGCCCAGGCAAGGGGGCTCTGCTCGGCACAGCGGTGCAGCTGTCGAAGCCGAAGCCGGGGGAGCGGCCGGTCCAATGCCCCAGAGGATGGCGCGGTGGGTGGCCCGCCCCGCACAGACGCCCTCGCTGCTCAGGCTGGGCCCTGCGCCCCGAACTGAACTCGGCCTTCCTCTGCTCACCGTCGGGGAAGCGGGACCGGGCGCCGCTGCTGTCCTGGGCTTCCAGGACCCCTCTCCATGTGCGTCCAAAGCGTGTTCAGTCCTCACCTGCCACGCCGTGATCGCCCCTGGGGGACGCTTTGGGCCCTAAACCCAGAGGCTGTGGCCGACTCATCCATTCCACCAACCAAGTAACCAGCTAACCAGCTAACTAACCAACCAGCTAACCAGCCAACCAGCCAACTAGGTAGATCACACCCCCGCATCCCCACCAAGTCCACCGCCACCGGTGAGCCCGGCCCAGACCCCGGGCCTTGGCCCTGCTGGCCGGAAGTCACAGTGCTGGGAGCCCCTCGGCCCCTTTCCCCTGGGGACCAAAGCAGCTGGGAACAGAGGGGCCACAGGGTGAGGCCCGGCTCGCTGGGCACCCAGTGAGGGTCCAGTTACCAGGGGACCCGCCTGTGTGACACACACAGGTTGGGCCAGTGTGGCACACAGACCCGAGGGGTCTCAATGGCTTCCTGCTGCCCTCCAGGCACAAGGCTGCCTTGGGGTGCAGAGCTCTGGATGCCCCTGGGGAATTCGCAAAGAGGAGTATGAGCCGAGTGTGCCTGTCAGCCCAGCACTCAGGAGGCTGAGGCAGGAGCAATGCTCCAAGTTCAAGGCCAGCCAGGCCACACAAGGAGACCCTGTCTCAAAAAACAAAAACAAACGAACAGAAATGGAAGCCTTGCCTGTGGGTCTTCCAGTGAGAAGCCCGGAATTCCAGCCTGCAGCATGTGACCCAGGAAGAGGAGACAACTCCAGAGGTTAGGGTGACTCAGTATGCTTTTGGGACTTTAGTTTCCTCATGAGCCAAATGCTGTTTTATATTAATGTCATACGAGGAGATATTCATAAAGAAAACAGAAGGAAGGACTCTTCTTAATTATATGAAAAAAAAATTTCCTTACAAAATAATCAGAGAGGGCTGGTGTGATGTCTCACACCTGTCATGCCAGCTCGCAGGAGGCAGAGGCAGGAGGATCTCTGTGAGTTTGAGGCCAGCCCAGGCTACATAGTTCAAAGCCGGCGTGGACGGTGCGGTGAGACCCTGTCCCAAAAAGCAAACAAACAGAATAACAACAGGGCACACACTGTGTGATATGCTCAAGGCCGGTCAAACTGTCACCCAGGGGACTCCCACGAGGAAACACACAAACGCGCCCGCGTCTTCGCGTCTTCGGCTGAGCGGAGAGGCCGGCAGTGTAGGCGGAGCAAAGCAGCGCCTCTGCCGAAGCCCTCCGGCCGGGCTCGGGGTCCTGTCTTCCCTCGGGGCTCCACCCCGTCTGCAGCCTGCTGGGCCCGAAGCCGCCCCCTGCTGGTGACGCGGGGTCTGCTCCGGGGAAGAAATCGCCTTTGAAACGCAGAGAGAGCCAAAGTTTTAGGGCTGCCCTCTCTCAGTGCTCGGAGATGCGTCAGGCACCTGGGGTCGCCCGGATCCCTGCAGAGCTTGTGCCCCTCGAAGGTGAAGGACTGACACTCTCTGTCCCGGTTCCTGAGGGCCCAGCTTGGCCCTCACCTCCCTGACCGAGTCACAGCGACCCTCCTGCCTCAGCTTCCCCAGCGCTGGAATGACAGGTGTGCGCAACGGTGCCCAGCGCACCATCTCTTGGAGAATTTTGGCAAAGGAGGCCTGGAAACAAGTTCCAGCTCCCAGGGACCCTGGAAGGCTTTAAGGCGCTTCCCACAGCCCGGTTCCCGCAGCTTGACCTGGTGCAGTGCACCCCCGCAGTCCAGCACGCGGAGACAGCACCGCTGGGGGCAGTGACTTCCTTCCGGTCCGAGGTCCCCACAGCAGGCCGCACAAGCCTCTGCGGGGGCACTGTTGGCATCGTTTCATTTCACCTCCCACTTACTTGTTCCACTGTCACTGTGAAGCCCGGGGCCACAACGGGGAAGATGGGCGGGAAACTCCCAGACCCAGGGCTGACGGGTCAGTGCCAGGAGAGGAGGGCGGCCTCTCAGAGAAGGTGATCGTGCCAGAGCCCCGTGGTCCAACAGCTGCTTTCCTTTTCCTCTGCCGGCCTCACATACATGGAAGAAGGCAACTGGCAGTAATCTGGAAACCCACAGGAGGGGTGGTGGGCACGCCTGTCTCCCAGCACTCGGGAGGCTGAGGCAGGAG